ACGAAACACATTGACATTAGGCACCATTTCATTAGAGATCATGTTCTCAAAGGTGATGTCGAAATTGAGTTTGTTGAAACACACAACCAATTAGCCGACATTTTCACAAAACCTTTAGAGAAAGAGTCGTTCTTCCGCATTCGTAGCGAACTCGGAATCCTTGACTCCACGATGATCTAATTTGTGCATTTTATCATTCTTTTATTGTTACTGGAACGTTTACTAACTTGAGCGTCGGAGGGTTTTCTAACTCTTTTCTGCAGGGACGGTTTGAAGTGAAGAACTCTGGAAATCAGGGGGAACCAGCGATGGGTAGCCCATACCATCGCTGGGAGGGAAGTTTTTTTTTTTCCAGAACCCCACTTCCCATCGATGGGTGCTTCTTCCCATCGATGGGTAATTGACTCAATCTTTTTTAATATCTCTTAACGGATTTCCAGCAACACAGCACCCATCGATGGGCATTTCATCCCATCGCTGGGTGAAGGACTTTTGTCAAAAACACTTTTTCCAGAACCTCCCCTCCCATCGATGGGAACCTTCTCCCATCGCTGGGTGTTTGACTCTATTTTTTTTTTAAAAAAAAACGTCTTATCGGATTTCCAGTAGCCACCCTCCCATCGATGGGTGAGTTTGACCATCGATGGGAAGGCAGCTTTATTTTCTTCCATGCTTTCCAGTGATGACCATCCCATCGATGGGCAGATCATACCATCGGTGGGAGCCTGCAGTTTTTCAAAAAAAATTTAACCGTTGGAACCACATTTAATGGCCCAACAGCTAGTTTTTTAACATTTCACACGGTTCTCTCCTTTCTCCTATAAATATACATCATATCCTACCATTTCTAATCACAATTTTCCACCAATTCTTTATCTCCTAATCAAATATCACTCTATTCATCAATTTTTGGTAAGCAACGCTGTCATGGCCGGAGGAAAATCCAAGAGCAAGGCCTCCAAGAAGAAGATCACCACCGAGGCTACGTCATCCGCGCCTCAACCCTTCCCATATCTCGACGGTTCCTTTTTGGAGTTCGGGTCAGAAGAGGAACTCACACGCTTCATCACCTACTTCGCCAAACGCCCCATCTCTCCGCCAAGAGTGCTACTCGAGCTATACCCTCAACAAAAGGGTTACTACGACCTTGACAATCAACTCAAGGAGTCGGGTCTGTGGCCTTTCGTCTCCCGCAGTCGCACCTCCTTCAATCCCGCCTACGTTCGGGCATTCTACTCCAATCTCCGCCGGGATGGGGACACTATTCGCAGCAGCATCAATCTCGTGGACTTCGAGTTTGATTTGGCTATCTTTGCCCGGATCGCAGGTTTGCCCACTCGCGGTGACGACATCGCGACTTATGGTGGCGATGATTGGATCCTCAACAACGAGGCGGTGGTCATCCGAGAGCTCGGAATCACCAACCTCGTCCGTCACAGCGGCGCACCAACCATTCACTCAGCCCCGCCGGAGAAGCGCCTTCTACTCTACATCCTCACCCGGATACTTCGCCCCCGGGACGGCAGCCACACGTGTCTCTTCAACGAGGATCTCAAGGCCGTTCATGCAATCACCCATGGCGCCTCGATCAATTGGGCGAAATACGTCATGATCCACATGGCGGATTGCGCCTCAATCGCCACCGAAAGGAGCCTGCCCTACGCCTTCCTCGTCATGGATCTCATTGTCGCGGCCGAAATCCACATCACCGGCCCGAACACAAAGATGACAAAGATTTGGACCATCCAAGACAGCACATTCCGGAAGAAGTCCGGTGACGAAACAGGCGCCGGACCGAGTCGTGCTCGTGCCCCTGCCCCAGCCCCCGCTCCAGCCAAGGCCTCCTTGCAGTCGATAGCCGATACCCTGAATCGGCTAACCGTCACTGTGGATGGCATGGGCCAGGACCTGGAGAGGATGGACTGGTCGATTCAACGCCAACGCCACGACATGAGGGCGTACTTCCGGGGGATCAACTACGTCCCGCCTCCATTTGACAGCACCATTCTCGGCCAAAACTTTGAAGGCGAGGATGAGGACGACAACTCATACGCTCCGTCCTCCTCCCCCGACGAGGCCGATTTTGAGGACGCGGTCGACGGGGATCCCATGGACGTTGAGGACGACGAAGAAGACGATGACGCCGAGGACGAGGACGCCGCTGCCTAGACTCTTCTTTCTTTTCCTTCCTTACTATGATTGTCTTTTTTTATTTCCATTCCGTTGTATTCCACATTTTCTCCTTTTTAATGAATAAAAGTTTACTTTTATACTCCAAAGTTCACTTTTAATTCTTTTTGTTAATGTCAAAAGGGGGAAGATGTCAAGGTTATGCATAAATTGAGGGGGAATTATTTTTTCAAATAAAATGGCATCTATTAAGGGGGAACACCTTTTTTTAAGTCTCAAAGACTTCCTGATATGCATAACCTCATCTCGTTTGCCATTATCAAAAAGGGGGAAATTGTTGAAACACGGGCATGTCACGTTTTCGTACTAAAGCCGTGTTCGTTTTTGTAACAGGTTTTGATAATGCCAAACCGCCGTGATCAAGACAAACATTGAATATACAAGGCGAAGAACAAAGATAAAGAACAAGAGCTAAAAGAGACCAAGAACGAAGACCGCAGTCTTTAGTATTGTTGAGTCGGTCATAATTGTAATCAAGACCGACCAACCCTCACGCATTGGCTCTTTAGGCTAAAACCTTTTACTGCACTTCTTACATTATAAAAATGTTTTTCAAACTTGTTTAAGTCATTAAAAACACTTGGTGTTCGCCCAAACCAAAAACCAAGCCATCCAGCGTTCGGGTTTCAGAAACCGGCGTTCGGCTCTCGGTTATCGGCTAT